ACACACGCACACACACACAGAGAGAGACACACACGCACACACACGCAGAGACTAAAAAGCTCTGAGAACAGAAATATGAGAATAAAAACTAGTGCAATAACTTTGTGATAAAAACAATCGAATAAACAATAAAACACGTCAAAGATAGAAATAAAGAAAGCAATAATATGAATGTGTGTGTGTGTGTCGCCAGCTGGTCCACTCCCTCCACGTTCTGTCTCATCACGTTCTCTGCTACAACCTCGGTTCTCCGGAGCAGATCCTACATCTGTTCCCCGACTCGTTCCACTCCAGTCTGAAGAACCTGATCACCAAGATCCTGCTGGAGAACAGGTCCGCCCCCATTGAACATTCCCTCTACTGTAACTATAGTCGATGAGAACTTCCTGGTTCTTCCTGGTGAATCACTCAGAAATTATATAATGTGTGAAGTGAAGCATGAGGGATTGCTCCTCCTCCTATTGGCTGGTTGGATGTGATGTCACTACAGGCTGTGATGACATCACATGTGTCTGATGTTTTTCAGCCCGACGTGGAGAACAGAAGCTCTCAGTGATCAGGGTGAGTCCAACCCAGATCCATGTTTCACCTCCATCTCTAGAGAGAGAGTGTGTGTGTGTGTGTGTGTGTAAGGCTTTAAACTGTGTGTGTGTGTGTGTGTGTGTGTGTGTGTGTGTGTGTAGTCTCTCTCCCCCAGCTGAAGGACTTGGACTGGAGAGTCGACATGGTGACCGGTTCAGACTCAGTCAGTCGGATGTCTGTCCCGACCTGCCTGGTTCAGCTCAAGGTGAGTACTGGACCTGAACCGCCACTGAGGTCACGTGACCTACAGGTACTGAGGAGGTCTCCCTGTACCGAGGAGGTCTCAGGTGGTCTCATGAGGTCTCTATACTGAGGAGGTCTCTGTACTGAGGTAGTCTCAGGAGGTCTCTCTGTACTGAGGAGGTCTCATGAGGTCTCTCTGTACTGAGGACGTCTCATGTCTCCGTGTGTCCCTCAGATTGAGGACCCGTGTCCGTCGGCGGGTCTGGATCCGGTGTCCCTGCTGACGGTGGAGCTGAGCAGAGAGTCTCTGGACACCATCCTGGATGGACTGGGACGCATCAGAGACCAGCTAAGTGTGGTCGCTGGGAAGTGAGGCCCGGAGGCAGCTGATTGGTCCGTTCAGAGAATGACATCACGAGGCCCGGAGGCAGCTGATTGGTCCGTTCAGAGAATGACATCACAAGGCCCGGAGGCAGCTGATTGGTCCGTTCAGAGAATGACATCACAAGGCCCGGAGGCAGCTGATTGGTCCGTTCAGAGAATGACATCACGAGGCCCGGAGGCAGCTGATTGGTCCGTTCAGAGAATGACATCGCGTCTTTTTTACAGCCTGAAGCTGATTTTTGTGTCGTTTTCATCAATTTAACAACATTCATGAGTTTGACTATTTACAGAAATGTTTGATAATTAAATGTATCATAAAAAACTAAACTTTACTAAAATAAAAAGATTGATTTTCACTTTGCTTTTTCAGACCAAGAAATAATTAATAAACTGTTTTCTGAGATTTGTCTCTTTTTTTTGTACATCGGAGAATTAAGTAATAAATATGAAATAAACTAAATCATAGTTTTTAACCTCAAACTGCAGATATTTGATTAAAGATATAAAATAAACATTTAGTTTTTAACATCTCATACTTCTATGATAAAAGAGATTTAAACATAATATCCAGAGATTATTGATTATTAAAGAGTTCAACAGGGTTCAATCTTTAGAGTCTGAAGATGTAAAATATCAAATATATTTATTATTTATTTTATGTTTGACTTCAGAGTGAAAAACAAACTAAAATATGAGCCGTTAAAAACCTGTTATCTTCTCTCACACACAGACACGCACACACAGACAGAGATACACACACAAGCTCATGTTCATTCTTTATAAACTAAACTGGACTAACTTCATGATAACTAGATTAACTAGCTTCAGCAACACTTTAAAGTGTCTGAATGTCCCGACCGACACTGAAGGCATCACGAAGATCAACACTGATCAATCATCTACAATCTTCATCAACACAAAAACCAAAAGTCATCGTCTGATCCTCAAATGTCTGAAATGTTTCCATTAAATAAAGATGAGTCGTTCAGTTAAAGGTTTAGAAGGATCGTGTGAAAGTGGAGATCTGTCACATTTACTGTTTCTATTTGAGTGAAAACTGAAGAATTGAAGTATTTAAACTCAATACGAGAACATTTCGCAAGAATTCTGACAGTGTGGCTGCTCCTGCTGAAGACGTTGCAATATACATATTACATATACATATATATACATACACGCACATGGACAAAACTGTTGGTACCCTTCCGTTAAAGAAAGAAAAACCCACAATGGTCACTTAAAACTGACAAAAGTAATAACTAAAAATTTACTGAAAATTAACGAATGAAAATCAGACAAAGCTTTTGAATTGTGGTTCAACATAATCATCTAAAAAAAACAAACTAATGAAAATGGCCTGGACAAAAATGATGATACCCATAACTTAATATTTAGTTGCACAACCTCTTGAGGTAATTATTGCAATCAAGTGATTTCTGTAACGCTCCATCAGAGTGTGAAAAAAGTTTTAACGTTAACCATCAGAGTGTAAATAAAGTTTTAATGTTAACCATCACAGTGTAAATAAAGTTTAACATTAACCATCAGAGTGTAAATAAAGTTTTAACGTTAA